CGTGCCCTGCCACAGGACTTCCCTGCTAATGGATCAGACCAGCCTACCTTAAGCTAAAATAAACCTTTCCTTAAGCTGCTTTCTCAGTTCATCTCAGCAACAAGAAAAGTCCTTAGTGTACACATTGCCTCCAAAGAGAAGGGGCAGAGATTCATGGCAAGAGAAATTTAGCATACTTTATTGGGTCTGAGAAGGCAATTATTTTTAATTTTTATGAGATTTTCCCTTTTGTTTCCATGATTTTATATAAATCCAAGAAAGCTATATAATATAAAAGTTAATTCACATTCACAGAAATACATTTTCTAGGAAAAAAATTATTCCCTTATTCATTTATGGAATAAGATAGACTTCCAACTGATACTCATTTATCTTACCTCTGAATAGACTCTGTATCTGCCAAGTTTCCAACCGAAAAACTCACACCTACGTGCTGCCATGGGGATTTCCCGTGCAAATTATGGAAACTATCAGTGAAAAGCACCCCCAATCAGTACCCCCAGTCTACATAATACAGCAGGGCTGCCTGCAGGTGTTCTGTCTTGTTTTAAAGCAACCTCTCCCAAATATACATTAAAACTCTAAATATCGAAAAGAAAAGCAACTAAGAAAGAAACAGTTCCTCAGCTGACACAGATGATCGGCCACCTGTGGACATCACTGATTTCCGTGATAACCCCAAAGAACCTAACTATTTCAGGACAGGAGTGAGTGACTGTCCCTTACACAAAAGTTACATACTTTCAGATTAGCGTGGGATCTGAAATCCTCAGAAGAAACTGCACTCTTTGCACGCTGAAGAGTGATGTCTTCGAAATCAGTACATTTTGGCAGAACTGCAAATCTCTCTCGAAGAGGTTCTGTCTGGACTGTGTTTTGAGGGAGGGCAGAATCACAGCAGAATTCTTTCAACTTTTCCAGAGACTTTAAAGCAATCCTGGGCCTCAGACATTTCTTTGGCTCTTGGGAAATAAGAAGAAAACATACTAATTGTATTTTGACTTCATTACATCAATTCATAATCTGGGATTTTTCAGAACAATACCCCATTGGAACAATGAACCTAACTATAATGTGATATTAAAAAAAAACACTGCTCAAGATAAATATGGCACACTGAAACATACCTATAACTTCATTCACTGATGAAATCCACTGAGAACTACAATAAAGGAGGCCGGCTAAACAGTTCAGCAGAAATGGTACTTGTCACCAAGACTGAGGAACTAAGTCCAATCCTCTGAAATTAGAAAGTAGGAGAGGACCAGCTCCTTCATGTTGTCCTCTGACCTCCACAAACATTTGTAATAATAAATAAACAAACAATAAGCAAATAAATGACACAATTATAATAATGTGGGATGTTCTGTTGTATATGTGTTGCTTTTATTAGTTGATGAATAAAGCTGTTTTAGCCAAAAGTCAGGCAGGAAGGTGGAGTCAAAGAGATACCATGTAGCTGCCAAAGGAGACAGACACCAGAACTTGCCCAGTAAGTCACTGCCTTGTAGCAATACACAATTAATAGAAAAGGGTTAATTTAAGATGTACGAGCGAGTCATAGGCCAAATGGTGTGGAAGAAAATCTCACTCTTTCTGTTAGAAATTTCTTCTAAAATTCTGATTTTTTTCAAATATAATTTATTAGATTTAGTGAGGTTTCTCTTATTCTAAAAATATACTTTGGGATATCTTTTCCAATGTGTAGCATGAATAATAAAAACCCAGAGACAGATACTGGGATATTGGATATTTCAAGATGAAGATCAGAAAAGCAAAGCAGCCAAATCACTGCAGAGTTCTTACCTCTACCAAGGCTCAGACAAACAAAGGGGTGATCCTGTCCTCAGCCATGACTGCAGACTGCAATGAGTTCTCTCCTCCTGCCTTATAGACCTCTCTCCACCCAGCCATACCACTCCTGTCTCCACCTTCCTAATCCGGGATCACCTTTGTGTGAGTTCTATTTCTCTTTTTAGACAGATTCAATCTCAAGTAGCCCAGGGTGGCCTTGAGTTCTGGGATTAAAGATCTGTGCCACCACTCCCTGGCCTCTTGTAGCTTAGCTCTGCAATCTGATCCTCAGGCAAGCTTTATTTATTGAAACACAGAAGCCAAGCCAGGCTAAGGTAGCACTAGCACACACCTTTAATCTCAGCACTTGAGAAGCAGAGGTAGGCGGATCTCTGTGAGTTCAAGGCCAGCCTGGTCTACAGAGCTAGTTCCAGGACAGCTAGGGCTGTTGTACAGAAAAACCCTGTCTTGACACAAACAAACAAAAAGCCCACAAATAAAATACCACTACATCAGTGTACATTTGACCTCATTTTCTCAAATGTACATAAAGGTTTCCTGTGAGTGTTAAGATTTTCCTTCTGTTTTGTAGCCCAGGTTAAAAAAAAGAAACTTGTACATGGAAGAATCTAGGAACAAGGTAGTTCTGTGTAATAGAATACTGCCAGGATGTAAGAAGAGGAATGTGGAGCAGTCAAAATGACAGACGCAGCAGACAAGGTGGTCGTGGCCAGGGCTCGGAGGTACGGGAAACAGAGACGTTCTGTTGGCCAGTGCAGCGTTTTAGAAGTGAAACGTTAAAGTCTGTGGAAATGGATAACAAGATGGGGACTGTAAAATGGCTCCCTGGGTAAGGCTGCTTGCCAACAAGCCTTACAATCCGAGTTGAGTGCCAGAACTCACACACTGGGAGGAGAGAAATGGCTCCTGGAAATTGTCCTCTGACTTCTTGTACCCATTTCACAGGCGCACACACACATAATAAATAAATCACTAACACATGTTTCATCTCTATGACCAAGATTTAAAGTACAGCGAAAGGGACTGGAGAGATGGCTCAGTGGTGAAGCACACATACCCTTTCATCAGAGTACCTGAGTTCAAGTCCCAACAACCATATCAGGTACTCCAGGAGGACTCCACATCCCATGGCTCTGCAGGCCTCTACACGTCTACCACACACACACATGCGCGTGCGCACACACTTTTAAAAATTATAGCAAAAGTGAACTGAAGAGAAAGTTGGAAAGAACCAAATTAGAGAAGTGAGTTCCACTGTGGCCCTAGCTCCCCAAACACCAGCTCAGGCACAACAGAGATCCTTCTCCACAGGGGAAAGCAAGGCTCCATGCCCCAATGGCCTCCTCTGCCCGCTGGGAACCCCAGCAGCTGAGAAGACTCATTCCCTAGCACTTACCAGGGTTGCCAGATGTTACTGAGGTATTTTCTTCTTCCTTCTCTGGAACTTTCTTCGCTTTCCTCTTAACGGGCCCATCACTCCCCCGGGATCTCTTCCTGCTGTCACCTCTTGTAACCTGTATCAGGAAGGTTGGAAATGGTGCGGTGATGCCATCCTAAGGTTTAAGTCATTTAAACCTTGCTACAGAAGGACAGTAAGTGCCCCGCCTTCCACTCTTCCCACAGAGATCTATTTTACTCCGGAGAGGCTTTGGGCAGCTGCTTTTGCCATCAGAGACGGACACAGGCAGGTGCTCACCACTCACCTCAGCTGAAATTAAGTGGTGTTCTCGCCTTTCCTACTTACATGCGTTACATAGAAGATAAGAAATGTGTTTTCAAAATGCAAAATTGTGGGAGAAAGTGAGATAATACAAACATTTTCTGTTTCAAAGCTTACAGCCACTGTTAACAGATGTCCCAGGACTATTTGTTGGCAGGTAATCTAAGAAAAGCTTAAAACTTTCCCCCAATATTCTGTCAATAGTGGGTGCAAAATAAAATCTTCATGACATCATGAAAATATAGCTCATTCTCAAGACGGGCAGAGGGAAGAGCAATCTGTTTAAGGAAGAAAACTAAATGAAAGGGGTTAAGATTCTTACACCATTTTGCACCTGCTTTAAAATATGGTAGATTGCTAAAAAGCCAGTCTACAATCCCCTTCTACATCCTCAGTCTGGGAAGTGACAGAGTCCCACGCCTAAGGCACCCTGAGCAAGAGAGCCACCCCCCACCCCCGCACCCCCCCCCACACCCCCCACACCCCCCCCCCCCCCCCCGCCTGTGTGGGGAATATAACAAGGAACCTCAGGGATCGCTGCCCTTGAGCCTGCACTTGTGGCAACATCACGGTGGGGTTTGGGGCTTGTTTTACTTTGCTTTTAACTATTTGAATGGCTTTTAACTATTTGAACGTCAACAGGAATTTTATCCACCCAAACGCTTATATCACACTTTACACTGGGGAGTTGCACAGTAGCAGAGTGAGATCTGAAATACAGAGCAGTGCTCCTGAATTTGCAACACAAGCCTTAAAGACAGCTTTGTTCTCCTCAGCCAAGCAAGCATATGTAAGTAAAGTTCTTCTTCAACCGTCAATACCGTAGGGAAAATGTAAAGAAGGGACGACGGAGGTTAAAAAATGTATCCTGGACCTGCATCCACCAAAGTTTTCGCCTCAGGTTCCGGTTAACGACAGAAGGCAACAAGATCTCAAATCGATTACTACTAATCGGGTAATAAAAGCCTTTCAACGAAAACATGGACCCGCAGACGTCACCACCTTCTCCTTCCCGGCTCCGCCTTCTCAGATCTCCCCACCCTTAGGCGCTCCACACTGCCTCCCCTTCCGGCTGCGACGCCTACGCGCCCGTCCCGCCCCGCCCCTGACCGTCTGGCCCCGCCCACCACGTGGCCCCTCCCCGTCGAGGACAGAACCCAGCTTCGGCGGCCTCCGCTAGGGGCGCTGAGGAGTCGTCGTCTACCTTCTCCGCCGGCTCCGTGGAGGACGCGGTGGAACTCAGGCTTCCGGCAGACTGGAAGAACCGGCTCAGAACCGCTTGCCTCCCCGGGGCAGCAGAAACGCTGCCCGACGAGGACTTCGTGCGGGGCATCCCAGGATGCAGAAGAGCCAGCCCTTCGGGAGCGCGCGGCCCCACTACCCCGCGCCTGCGCGCGCGCACGCCGCGAGCTGCGGGGAGCCGGCCTGGTGGAGGCGGGACCTAGTGGGCGGGGCCTGTGCTGCACGAATAGGCTGCGGGGCGGGACCTGGTGGGGGCGGAACCTTCGATGCACAAGTCGCAAGCGGCGTCTAGTGGTCGCTATTTTCGCGCCAAACTTGAGGGGAACCCTAGCGTGCAGGCTCTCTAGAAGCTGATCGCCGCTTGTCATGGTTCGAACGCTGAACTGCATCGTCGCCGTGTCCCAGAATATGGGCATCGGCAAGAACGGAGACCTGCCTTGGCCTCTGCTCAGGTACTGTGGCCGGACTGGGTTCGGGAGACCGAGGCGGTTCGCTGAGTCGGGTCGAGCACTTGGCGGAGACGCGCGGGCGGATCTGCTTAGGCGCAGTTGTGAGCGGGTAGACCCACCGGCTGCAGCCCCTGCCGGTGCCCGCGGTGATCCCCCTGCTGTGGCAACCTTTGCCCAGAGGCACCCTGGCCGTGAGCAAAGTCCGGTCACTGGGCAGCACCATCCCCCGGGCTTGCACAGATCGCTGCTGAGCTCGAGTCTGAACACATGTTCCGGTTAACGCAGTGTTTCTCTAACTTTCAGGAACGAATTCAAGTACTTCCAAAGAATGACCACAACCTCCTCAGTAGAAGGTAATTTGGGGTTAAGTCATGAGGATCTTAGGGCCTGCTTTCTGAAGCAGGCTTTCCATTGCAGACGTGTAAGCGGGAAGTCTCTCGTGGGAATATGGCATCTTTGTTTCTTGGCAGAAATTTTTGTGCTGCTCCCAAAATTTAATAAGCATCCTCTTTAAAAATATATATATATATATATATTTGAAATTTTGTTAGCAAGAGCATGTAATTGGACAGAATAATGAGCAAAATTTAGCCATTTAAATATAGAGACCAGAGCCGGTATTTAGAATTGTTGCCGGAAGACATAAAACTTGAGCAAATGGAAAAGAATGCAGGGGAGAAGAGGTTAGAAAACAATTAAACATTTGTGTAACACTCTTGGATTTCTGGAGGCAGGAAGGCACGGTGGGATGGCGGCTGTGGTCTTCAGTGGGACAGTCTGGAGGGCTGACTTGATAGAAAAGAACCGGGAGTGGTACGCAATTATAAGGCAGTGTCCAGTTGCTTGTAGGTCGTTCAGTGTGATTTCTCCCTAACAGACATGTTTGTTTATCATGGTAGGAGAGGAATAGAACAGTGGCTCTCGGCCTGTGGGTTTCGACCCCTTTATGGTTGAATGACCCATTCACAGGGGTGGCCTAAGGCCATTGGAAAGCACAGATATGTATGTACATCATGACTCCTGACAGTAACAAAATTCCATTTATGAAGTTACCATGAAAGTAATCTTATGATTAGGGTCACCCCCACAGCATAAGGAACTGTATTAAACGGTCACATTATTGGGGAAGTTGGGAAGCTCTGGCATAGAGCATGGGGAAGCAAGTCAGCAGAGCAGGTATTGAACAATATTCATGGGACAGGTAGCATAGAAGTCACTGGCAGACAGGTGGGCAGGTACCATTAGCACAGTGTATGCCCAGGAATCTAGATATCAGGATTAGAGAGATGGCTCAGCCAGTAAAGTTCTGAGGATCTGGGTTCAAATCCCAGCATCCAAAAAAAGCTGGGCATGGCAGCACCCGTTTGTAATACCGGCGCTGGTGAGACAGGCAGAAAGATCCCTGGGGCTTGTTCTCTAGCTAAATTTGTGGGCTCCAAATTCAGTGAGAAATCTCATCTCAAGAAAATAAAGTGAAAACATCTATCTTCAGTGCCTGGGCCTGTGCATACAGGTGTACAATACACACAAAATAAAAACTAACGTTTTCAAGATTTATTTGTTTTTCTTTCTAATGTGTGTTTTGAGAGTGTCTATATACATGTATGTACAAAATATGTGTGCCTGGTCCCCACAGCGGCCAGAAGAAGGTTCCCTGAAACTGGAGTTAAAAGCAGTTGTAAGCCCTTAGATGTGGGTGCTGAGAACCAAACCCAGGTCCTCTACTCTGCTTTTAACAGCTAAACTCTCTCTCTAGCCCCCAAATCATTTTTCTTAAAAGAATCCTAATTGTTACTCTACCTTTGATCCAGCTGTCTGACACTCAAGGTTTTTTCCAAGTAATTAAATAAAAGATGGAAGCTGTATGGTATGTATAGTTCTCTTAACAGGACTTTTTAAATGTTTTTTATTCTTTATAAGTTTCATACATTTATACAGTGGATATCGATCATATCCATTTAGCTTCTCATTCTTCCTTGAACTTCCCTCTCCCTCCCTAATTCACATTCTAGTCGTTATTAATATAACCCTGTGTGTGGCCATTGACTGGGGCATGAACATGAGCCAAATCTAAGACTGAGTCTTCCTCTCTCAGCAGCCCCCAACTACCAATAGCTGTCTAATAGGGGTGGGGCCTCAGGAGCCCCTCCACCATGCTAGAATTTTGACTGGCCTAATCTTGTACAGATGACCAAAGCTGCTGTGAGTTGGTGCCTGCAGACATCTGCCAGGTCACATCCAGAAATCAGTGTTCCCCATCTTTCTCCCTCTCCCACCAGCCCTTCCGTCCGTTCTTTCTGCCCCCTCTTCCTCTGTGGTCCCTGACCTTAGAGTAGTGGGAGCTGGTACAGATGACCCCGAGAACACTGCTTTTAGATGGTGAGCACAAGTGCTGAGTCTTTAATCTTCTCAAGGTTTCCAGGAGTAGAAACTGTTCCTGTCTCCATTTTAGAACTAAGTAAAGCATATGGAGTTATCTAGTGGATGACAAAACCCCGTCAGCCTGAGCGCTTGGAATCAGAATTGTGCAAGGTTGCAGTTGACTGAAACCTAAGTAAAAGATAGACATTGGGTGGACCAAAAGGATTAGTTAATGAGCACTAAATCTGAATTTGGGGTGAAGCTGTTTGTTTTAATGTTTCTAAAGGATGTCCACTAGATGTCACTATGACAACCGTATCTTGCCTGTGTATGACACTGAAAATATATGTGCATTTTCAAAGGTATCCTGTCTGCTTGTTTTTGTAGGTAAACAGAACCTGGTGATTATGGGCCGGAAAACCTGGTTCTCCATTCCTGAGAAGAATCGACCTTTAAAAGACAGAATCAATATAGTTCTCAGCAGAGAGCTCAAGTAAGTGACATGAAGTCGCCATAAGAAAACTGTGATCTATGTCCCAGGGCACAAATCAGTACGTAATAGAATGAAGTAGTATAGAAGTAAGTTGATGAGCATCTGTGTGTGTGTACACATGCACATCTGTACATATATACATGCATGACCATGTGAACAGCGACACATGCGTGCAGCCATGCATACAAAGCCGAACGTTGTCCTTCCTAAGAGTCCGTCCACCTCGTTTTCTTGAGACAGGGTCTCTCACTGTGATCTGGGGCTCACGTATTAAGCTAGGCTACCTGGCCCATGAGATCCAAGAGTCCCTCTGTCTCTGCTCATCCACTGGTAGGGTTACAACTGCATGCCACCAAGCCGAGCTTCTTTTTACCAGGTGCTGAGGGTCAAACTCAGTCCTCATACTTGGACAGAAACTTTACCATGTTATCACCCTAACCCCTAATAAATGACTCACTATCCAAACAAGTTGACACCATCAGTTTTTACCCCAACACCCTGAGGTGACTAGACCCTTAATCTACCACCTTAGACCATTGAGCCATAATGCCTAACTAAAATCTTAATATCTCAACCGAGTGGGCAGTTATGCCATGTGGCAACTTAATTCTGTTCGTTAAGTGATTAAAGTGGTCTAGGAATCTTCAGGAGAAGAAAATGTCTGTAGTTGACTTCTGCTAAGAATTTTCTTATCCTCCAAATGTTTGAATAGATAATTCGTTCATCATGACTTAAGGTAGTTGGGGACTGGGGTAATGGCCCAGGGGTTAACACTGGCTGATCTTCTAGAGGACCTGAGTTCAATTCCCAGCACCCACATAGCGGTTCACAACTGGCTGTCACTCCAATCCGAGGTGATCTGAAGCCTTCTAGCCTCCAGGGGCACTAGGCTTGCACATGGTGCACAGACATGCAGGCAAACAGTTAAACTTAAGGAAGGACTGGAGGTGATAGAGAAGATTGACTATGAAGTCAAGTCCAGGAGTTTGACCTTGATGACGACTTTGCTATCATTGTTACTAGTCTTAACTTACTAAAATAACTTCCTGAGACTTACAGGGCTTTGTTTTAGTTTAGATTGTTTTGGTCAGCAGGTGACTAAAATTTAAGGGAACATTAGGATTCAAGATGTTGACCATGCTTCCTTACATTAATAAGTAGTCACCAAAAACAACACAGCGTCTTAGAGCATGGGACAGTGTTTGCTTGAACAGTAGTCAAGAATGTCACTCCCGTGTGTTTTATTCAGGATCCAGCTAGAGAAACAGATGCAATAGAAGCTGTAGTTGTGGGGAACTGGCTTTCACGGTTATGGGGTGGAGTTACATGAATCCACAACATCAGAGAGCAGACTGTCAGAAGAGCAAGCTAAGGCTTCCCAGGAGATGCTCTGCTTGCTTCTGAGAAGACTCAGCTCTACTATTGGGGGTTTGGGGACAAGATTTCTCTGTGTAGCCCTGGCCACCCTGGAGCTCACTCCATAGACCACACTGGCCTCAAACTCAGAGATCTGCCTGCCTTTGCCTCCCGAGTGCTGGGATTAAAGCGTGCACCACCCAACTTCTCAGTTCCACTATTAAGGCTTCTCACTGCTTTGAATCCAAGTCAGCTCATAGATGTCGTCACTCCTACAAAACACGAGTATCTGAGTGAAGGGGAGTTAGCACAGCCCTGGGAGGGAAAATGCTCTCCATAGCTGTGTTCTAAGAGATTTTTATGTAGGGTTTCTCCCACACCCCTCTTACAATGACATAGGTTAAAGCCTAGAAGAAAATACACAAACACTGCATCGGTTGCCTCTAGTGATGGGAAATATGTGATGTGCCTCTTGCCATCTTCCTCCATCTTTGTACTGCTCCTTGTCCTGGTTGCTAGGATATTCTGATGATCACTCTCTTTGAAAAATTACACATTCACAGGCTATATTGCCATTGCCAGAGATTTTTTAATAACATATTCTTGAATACTACTCAAGTTTATTTATGGCCAGCTTGAGCTAAAATAAACATAAAGAACTCTCAGTGGGGGACATGTTCAGTTGAGCTAGCATTTCTTCTCAAATGATGAGTCTAATTTCTTCTTTATGACCCCCCTATGGTGTATGTAATTGGATTGTGTTGCTTTTCGTGTATTTATATATAACATTTAGTAGGGTTTTTTTTTTTAATTTTGCTTTTTTAAGGCTGAAAAAATTCAAAGTCTATTATCAAGCAGGCTAGAGAAGTTGGACTATCAATCAGTGAAAGATTTTATTAGGGTCCATTTTTTTCTTCAGTCTTCGGCTTCTCTTGATTGTCACTTTATGTATACCCAGAACACAATGGGTCCTGTGTCACAAGATAGGCACCGCACATGACAATTGCTTATGCAGACTTTCACTGGTACTTGGGATTTTAGCCACTGACCTTGTGTGTTAATTTCTTCAAGTTTTTTGTCATAGAAGAAATGACCCAACACAGGACTCGGCAGAGACCAGCTCCTACCTTGTCCCCGAACCTTGTAACTTATAGAAAATGCTGATATTAGGAGCTGGGGGAGGAGCATAGTGTAAGGCCTTGAGTTTGAGACCTAGCACCCTCAAAATGAACATGAATAATATTTGATTTCTCTTTAGAGTACATAAATTGCTTACTTTTAAATATTATTGGGATCACAGTGAATAAACTCATAATCTTATTTTTTACCTTAGCAAATCACCTTATTAGAATAAATAAATCTCTCCTACCTAAATCAACTCGTACCCTCTCCTTTACTCCAGGTGATCAGAGACTATCTTATTGTCCTCATTTTGAACCTCACCTCAAGTTACTGTTTTCCTACCCTCAACTTTATCTAAGTTTTCATGTGTTGAATAAGTTCACTGTAGCCTACAACAGTTTCTAGGGAAGTATATCATTTCCGGGCGTTGGGCATGTTTTTACCTCTGCTGACACCCAGCTAAGGAGTCCGGCACCATCATTGCCCCACCAGAAATAATGCAGTGTGCCTGGACGCAGATCCTCCGTAGGTTTTGGTATTCTGCTGCCATGCTTTTTGACCACTGCTGAGACGTGCATCTGGTTACCTTCTCACCCGTTTGGGTAAATGGACTGCTAAATTTTAAATCTCTGTTGACAGCCTAGAAGTTGAGAAATCTTCACAGGATTAGTGGTCTGTAGGGCCCTACTGATTCTACTTTGTGTTTTAGAAATGTAAAAATATTGTCTATTTACCCTGCTTTGTGTATTAGAAACTAAGTTGCTGTCTAGTAGCTACATGGGTGGCTAAATGGACTACCTCCTTATACATTGTTTCTTAATGGAGCATCTACTTACACATTGTTTCTCTTAATCCTCTGAATTCTTTGACGGAGTTTAAGACTTCCATTAGAAACAATACCAGCCATGTCCACAGTTCTTGACAGAATTCATATTACTGCCCTTATCTTTGAAGTCCACACCAATCATTTATATGGGGTTTTTGTTTTGTTCCATTTTTGAGGCGTTTGTTTTTAAGTAAACTAGAGAGTATTTAAATTTCGCCAGCTCTTCCATTGCTGTTTTTTTATTCTTCTAGGATCTAATTCAGTATCACGTGTGTATTGTTTCTCTTCGGTGTCTTCCAATCTATAACAAGACTATCATTTAATTACAATTAATAGAGGTTCATTTGAAAACTTGCCTTGAGAATTTCTCGGTCCATGTGATAACCAATTGTCCTGAAATAAAGAGCTAGAGTGGCCCAAAGGAAGAAAGGAGCCTTCTTTAAATGAATTAAGTGAAGAGCAGACTGTGGTAACATGGATAGGTCAGTTGTGTGTAAGGCACCTACCTACCTGTGTATAAGAATATCAGTGAACAGTTACTTGAAAGCTCCTGGAAAAAGACAAGGAATGAGGAAGACATCGAAGCTACTCTGCTTTGGAGCAGTCGTGGAGGAGTTGTTTTGAAAGTAGAAGATCTGAGTTAGTTCAATCTTGAGAAAGGATAAATTAGCTAATCAGGTATGCAGAGGTTACTAGAAGGCATTACATTTCTTTCTACATGGACCCCTTTTCTAATTTATTGGGAGCATAAAAACGGTTCAGCAGTGAGTGACTGTAACTTACATTCTGGATTAGAGAAGGTTCCGGGAAAAGCAGTAGAGAAAGAAGCTCCTGAAGCATTGGCCCCTTTACTCTTGAGTTCAGGGCTTTGCTAGGGATTTCTTATTGGTCTCTCGTGTGTACTGGGGATCAAACCCAGGGCCTCAGGCATGGCAAGCACATCAAGCATTCCTAATTTCTGTAACCCTGGAAACCATATTGCTCTCGGCTTTTGAGTCCCTGCTGTCAGATTGTGCACATCAGCTCCTTCATCACCATCTCCAGTTCTGTTTCATCTCTGTACCCATCCTAGCGTCAGCATTCTGTTAGGCCACTGGACTGTTATGGACCATTTATTACCTACATCATCTTTTTTTTTTTTTAATTTATTATATATACAGCATCTGTCTGGATGTTTTGCCTACAGGCCAGAAGAGGGAGCTAGATCTCATTATAGATGGTTGTGAGCCATCATGTGGTTGCTGGGAATTGAACTCAGGACCTCTGGAAGAGCAGCCTGTACTCTTAACCGCTGAGCCATCTCTCCAGCCCCTGCATCATCTTCTTCATGACTGAATCTATATTTCTTCTTGTTGCTATTCTGTCCTTCAACACTGTCATATCCTGCCTTGTCCCTGAAATTACCCTCAGACCTTTGGTGGCAGCTCAGCTCATTTAACTCACCTTGGCCTCCATTTTTTTTTTTTTTGGTTGTTTGGTTGCTTGGTTGGGTTTTTTCTCCCAGCATAAGTCCAAATGTATTCTTTGCTCTATCCTAATCCCCTTACCTATGACAAAGAGTGAAAAGAATAAAATGGGAAGAGAAGGAGAACGCTACTAGGAAGATGAATAGTCCCCATCAGTTCTTGATTAATCATTGTTACAACTACAAGTTCAAAGAGAGTTATGTAAGTAGTTCTTTTAAAGCACCAGCTAAGAACTTGACATTGAATTAATAATTTTTGTTCTGTTTCTAATCACTGTGTATAAATTTACTCATTTATAAAGGGAATTGCAATTCCTCTCACCATCAAAATAATAGAATCCCAAAATTTTAGCTAATCAGCATAAGCAGTGAATTTATTTAACTTTTCTTTCTGTGTATTAATTCTATAACTGGTAACAAGCTCATCCTCAAACACTTTCTGTCCTTTCTGTATTGTTCATAATATTCAGGTTCTTTCCCCATATATGTTAACAATCTGAACACTGCTTCAAATTCTTCTAGTCATTTGAGTATTCTCTGTCTAATATTTAATCACGAAAGTTTTCAGACTGACAGAAAGAACTGTACGTTAACCCAGGCAGCGGCGGCGCATGCGTTTAATCCCAGTAGAGGCAGGCAGATCTCCATGGGTTCGAGGCCAGCTTTGTCTACAAGAGCTAGTTCCAGAACAACCAGTGCTGTTACACAGAGAGACCCTGTCCTGAAAAAGCAAAAAGAAAAAGAAAAGAAAAGAAAAACTGTGCATAAAAACTGCATACCCACCCCCTGGATTCACCCACCCCCTGGATCCTGCCACTGAGTCTTTACTATGTTGGTTTTGGCACTGTTATCATCTATCCAGGTGGTGCTGCTTCCACATTTCAGACTAAAGGGCAGAATGAGTGTATTTCCCAAAATGCTTCCCATGTGTCATTAGCTAGAATTCCGCGTTGCTCTAGCCTGTTGCTGTGGTAAACATTAATACAATGAGATGCACGAGTCTTGAGTGCACATTATCTTCGTGTTGACAAAGACTTAGACCTACATAACTCAGCCTATTAAAACCTCCAGAAAGGTTGTTTTCCACAGTGAGATGTCACATATGCCTTTGTGTACCGTGCGGGTATGAAAGATAGAGTGGATGCTGGACATGGCCGTGCATTCTAAGTACTTTACGTTAAAACAATTGCTTTCATAATTTGTTTTGTACTGACTGCTTCCAAGTCAAATTATTTGACTACTGTAGACAGAATTTTACAGTAATCATAATTTTTTTTTTTTTAAATCTCAGGGAACCGCCACAAGGAGCTCATTTTCTTGCCAAAAGTCTGGATGATGCCCTAAAACTTATTGAACAACCAGAGTTAGCAAATAAAGTAGACATGATTTGGATAGTTGGAGGCAGTTCCGTTTACAAGGTAAGTAGACTTATTTCTAAGTAGAAGGAAATGTCCTTCCCTGCTTCTAGCCATGACCGTAGGAAGCAGCACATTATCCAGCTCAAAGCTAGACAAATTGTCAAAGTGAACTATTTGACATAGAAATAAATACAAATGTAAGTGTAGAATTTATACTTTATACCAGTCTAGTATCTTTTTATTTGTATGTTTTATGTATAAAATCATATATTTCATTATGAAGTTGTGACATAATTCATCTGCTTTAGTACTATTTGCCCCCCCCACTTCCATTTCCTCTTACCAAACACCCCTACCCCAACTCACCAACTCCCATCAACTTTAGTGCCTTATTTTTAAATCTGTTTTTAAATTGGCAAATAATCAGATGATCTGAAACATGCATTCACAGAGCGGATAAATTGAAATATATCACCTTGCTTATTTTCGGTGATGAGAACACTTAAAATCAACTCCCGGCAATTTTAAGAGCACAGTTAGTCACCATGCCGCTCAGTAGATCCCTAGATCTTATTCTTCCTGTGTTCTTTGGCAAAGATCTTCCCACATGCTAGTCAATTTCCATTCAGAATACTAGTTGTTTCCAGTTTAAAGATCAGTCTGTTTTGTTGAGCATGTTTCTTATATTCCACTCACAGATGTGCCCTGGAAGGGCTACTGTGCCTTTGATTCCAAGATAAATATTGTACTGAGAAGAGCAGGGGCTCTCGGTCAGCACAGGCCGATCAGATGGAAAGCTTTTCCGCAGCAACCTCCCTGCAGTGTGAGGGCAGAGGAGGACGGCATGTTTCGATCATGGTGGAAAATAGTGTACAAAGCAGAAAATATGCTTTTCCTGGTCTCATTTGGTACCAAATGACTTCTGGCTTGTTGTTTTGTTTTTTCAGATATTCTTTGGAAAGATTGCCATTTATAAGGAAGAAAAATCAGTCCTCTTTATATGTTAACACACACACACAGAAAGAGAGAGAGAGATGATTTGAGAAAGGAGGATTGCAGATTCCTAAGCTGATTATGACTACTCCTTGTCTCACAGTCCTGTTTCTGTAACGTTGTCTCCTATGAAAACATGTTCTCTAAGCACTAAGTGCTAAAAGCACTTATCTAATTAGATCTACATTAAGGAAGTAACGGGCTGCAGGTAACCATCTCACATGCTGTGCTTTCGGCCTGTCCTCCCATGCCAGCTGGCGAAGTGGAGCAGAGCCTTTCATTTCGGCACTGTCCGTGGCTGCTTTTGCTGTAAGAGTCAGGAGCCTGTGCCGCTCCAAGCCTGAGCTGTTCACCAGATGGCCCCTTACTGAAAGCTCACCCTGCTTTGAGGAATGCAGCTGTGGTTAGTCTGCACCAGCTCTTCTGGTTTGGGCACAGTGGGAGCTAGCAGAGATTTCTTTAGTTGCAGCAGCAATAATAAATAATGTAACATAAGCTGAAATACAGAAAGGAAAAAGTGTTCTATGCTAGCATAGCATGATAGTATAGTATTAGAAGTTAAGAATAACAACTTGAAATCTTATATATGTGAGTATTCTTTTTCTTCCTCTATGTGTTTAAAGATCAATAGTTATTAATGCTTTCTTGGATCTGCACGTCTGCCTCATCCTTTCCATTAAAAATATAAGCTCTTTCTTCCAAGGCAACTCGTGAACATGGGGCCTGCCCTGAAGTACGGTTGATATACACAGTGTCATTATACTTTTTTAATTATAAATTATATAACTAATGTTAATTATAAAATTAACATTAATTATAGTAAAAAAAAAAACATTAATAATAACATTACAGACATTGGTTGGAAAGTCATTAACCAGAACAGACTGAGTGCCATTGTTAGCAACAAGAGACAAGAAGAAACAGAGACAGGGGCCTTTTCAGGTAATGCCAGAGTAGTAGGGTGTACTGATGGGGTGGGAGCCATGGCTCAGCAGTTAAAAGCTCTTGCTACACAATCATGAGGACCAGAATTCAGATCCTAGCACCCACATAACAAGCAGGGAATCCTGTAAACCTCAGTTCCAGCTCTGAGTGATTCGGTACTCTCTTCTGACCCGTGCACACACAGGCACACAAGTAAATGAGCAAATGAATTCTTTTAAAGAAACGGTGTCCTGAGTGTCCCTGAGGTGTTTTTAACAGTGAAGACTTCACAAAAGTGCTTTCTTATTCAAGGGTACAGAAGCAGACTTCTCTTGGGAAAAGCAACTAGGTTAGTGAGGGGTGAAGCCTTAAAAGAGCAACCGAAGGAAAACAGCCAACTGAATGCTTAAATTTAAAAAAAAAAAAAAATACTTTAAATGAAGACCAGAATGTATTTTCATAATTACTGATAATATGGTGTGTGTGTGTGTGTGTGTGTGTGTGTGTGTGTGTGTGTGTGTAGTAAGTTTGAGGGAGCTGGAGAGAGGGCTCAGTGACTGGAGTTCAGTTTGCAGCAGCCACATCAGGTGGCTCACACCCACCTGTAACTCTAGTTCAGCTGCCTCCCATAGGTACCTGGTCCCACACAAACCTACACAAAGAGGTATAACATATATAAACAACTTTTTTTTTCAAAATAGCTTATGTATATTGCTTGAGAAACTGTAAGCATGGATTTAATGCCTAGTACAAACTTAATTCAAATAAGAATCTTCTAGTCTCTTTGTCTTTCAACAGCGGTTAAGGAGAGTGATGCCTTCTGTTTTGTTTTAAAGGAAGCCATGGATCAGCCAGGCCATCTCAGACTCTTCATAACAAGGATTATGCAGGAATTTGAAAGTGACACGTTCTTCCCAGAAATTGATTTGGGGAAATACAAACTTCTCCCAGAGTAAGTACTAAAGTTATTAATTAGTCAGAAGCACTTTAGGGACTAATTACAGAAAAAGGGGGAGCAAGTAAGGGAAAAATACAATGACATATGTGGATTGAAATTAACATGTCACAACAGAACCCATGACTATTAAATAAAGACTAATCAAAGAAGGAAACGATTACAGAGAAGAGTAACTTTTTTCATATTTGATTTGAAGTAGCAGTGTGCTATATAGAAAGATACTTTTTTAAATAATGTTTTTATTTATTCTTTGAAGATTCTTAACACTGTATTTGGGTTGTATTCATTACCCTACCTCACCTTCTTCCAGGTCATGTTCCCTCTCTCTTTAAGAACAAAACGATCATGGAGTGCAGTCTGCACTGGCTGACCACTCCTGAACATGGGGCCTGTGCTGGAGTATCGCTGATAAACACTGCCACTGTATTGTAGAGAGTAACTTTCCCTCTCCAGTAGGTGTCCATTCTAACAGCTCCTTGGTTAAGGGTGTGCTCTGCACCCTCTCCCTGCTCCTCATGGTGGGATCTGCCTGGCTTGAGCTTGTATGGGTCTTGTGCATGCTGTCATATCTGCGCTAATTTCCTTGAGGTCACCACCACCTCTTGCTCTCACAGCCTTTCTGCTCGTGTTCTGTGTAGATCACTGAGCCTTGAGGGAAGGACTAAATGCAACATAGACGACATCACATTAGGGATCAATATTCCAAAGTCACTTATCTCTACATGTTGACCAGTTGTGGGTGTCTACTGCAAGAAGAAACCTCCCTGTTGAGAGTTGAGCATCTATGAGTATAATCTAATGGGTATAGTAAATATGTTAAGAGTAATTTTATTGCTATGTTAACTTAGCAGAATAATCATAATAGGTTTTCCCCTCAGTTCTTGGCCTTGTTGGCAATGTCAGGTATGGGTTCCATCTCATGGTGTCAGTCTTAAATCCAGAAAGAGAAGGAAAGAAAGCATGATTACTCCCATGATATCACGCCACTATTGATAGTGGGTATATCTTGCAGGCAGGTCACTATTGTAGCTCACAGAGTTCAAAGTGGGTGAGCCCGATGACTGCTTTCCTTTTCAGGCAACATGCATATCATCTTCCAGCACTGAATGCAACGTCTAGTTGAGTGCCAGCTGCATTTCTCCGTGCTCTATGGCATAAGAACGTAGTGCCTTTTGTCACATGATGTATGTTTGTTTAGTTTTATACTCGGGTTTAACATAAACTACGCAGACGAGTTACAGTGCTTGCCAATTTTCTTGTCTTTAAGAAAGCTTTCCTCAGCTGGAGTTATATAACTGCTTCTTTTGAGCTGAAACACACCCTCCTGGAGGAAGGAGAAAGGATTTTAGACCCAGAAGTAAATTCAGTTCACAAGGCACAGGAAGCTTCTCAAGCTTAGGAGTGACAAGGCCCTCCCCCGAGGTTGCTGGGGAGACGAGAGTGATCAGCTGAGCCACCTGTCAGCTGTGCAGGGAGCTCCAGGGGTGCAGCCTATGTGTGGTGTGCTGTCACCTCCTAGTGTGGGCTTCTCATAGCTGCCTTTTAGCCGGTCACCCATGCTCCTGAGAGCCACAGAAATAAACTCACTAGCTCACAAAGCTAGACTTACAGTCAGTGCCCTATCTGAAAGAGAAGTTTGTTTGTATCCCTAGAAAGATATGTTATAGGAGCTTTTAGAAATAGACTTTAATAGACTTGGAAATGTGCAGTTTAGTGATTCTAGTGGCATCCAGCACAGTTGTCACTAGGTCATTCTAGGGGAGTGAGGCCTGTCTTAAGCACCCTGAAAATTGTGTGGATTCTGCCTGCTGCTGCTGCTGCCCATCCAGAGACAACTTCTTGACAAGCATGAAACAGTGGGGTCTGGTGGATACTGCAGTGTGAAGGTCCACTCTGAAGAGAGGCATCTACTGTAAGATCAAGACCTAGAAACAGCCCCCCAGCAGCAGGAAGAGTGGTCCAGGAGCAGGAAACAGTGCAGAGCCTGAACCCAGGAGGAAGTTGGCCTCTTCTATGATTCAGGAGGCGGCCAGGGACATTGTCCCAGCTCTATGGCAAATGCACTGGAGAGGAACCTGAAAGAATCTAGGTGTGGGTGAAAGATGAGGGATCATAGGTTAAGGTGGCCTCAGTTGTGAAGATGCAACAGAAAAGCTATCTTGTGGTTCCAGCAGGAAACCTGGGAACATTTTAATTTCATCTGAAAGCACTTTAAACTGTTAGCTATAGAAAGTAAAAGAAAAAATAATTATATTAACACTTTTAGACCAGTTCTTAACACATTTTTCTAGATAGTCTCAATTGTGTCTAGTAATTATCCTGAGTGTGAATTTGTTTTTTACACATCCCCTAAAGAAACATTAACAACTTAGTCTAGATAAATGGATGGCCAAGCTTTAGAATAATAGTCTTGATAGTCTGTGGAATGACAGTCTTGGATTTCATAAATTCTAAATTTAGTGACTTTCTTTGGCTCTTAATTCTAAAGTAAACAGAGAATCGCAAACCATCAGCTGCTTAAGTCCAGACTTTGCATAGGCTCCTAAATTTTAAAAGAAAGCCACAGTTGGTCATTTTATAAAATGTTTATGTGAAAATCACACCATTTATTTTCTACTTAAATTGTGAATTCCCAGGTTATGTGAATATGGGTCTATGTTATGTGAGTATAGGTCTCAGCTGTCTCTTCTTATTCCTTTTCTTTCTTTCTTTCTTTTTTTTTTTTTGCTACTAGCGATAACAGACTGCTGTATGATCAGCCTCATCCAAATATCATTTTAACGCTTAATGTTTTTAATCAGAATTTTTCCATGGCACTGACCCTTTAGGAACCTTGACAATTTAAGATAAATGTCGCTGTGACTCTCTGACTTTAAAAAAAAAAAATCAAAAGAAAACCTTTGCTGACAAAGGCATGCGTCATGACGTTCGCCTGTTGGGACTGAGTGACTCGGTGCCTTGCTGTGCTTGCAGTTATTCGTGCATGTCGTCACAGTCTCAGCTGATTGCAAGTGGGAAGGTGTTTGTCTGGACTCCCATCTGTCCCTTTGGTCAACGTGTACCATTATGCTGCTCTTACATAGTCTTATTTTGGTTTGACTGGGTCTCATGCAGCCCAGGCTGGCCTAGAACATTCTAACTAGCCCAGGATGACGACCTGCTTCTAGTTCTCAGGAGTGAGAATTATACCTACCTGACTTGGCTTATTTACGTGGAATTGTCATTAATTCTAACTTGTAATCGGCAAACATAGACCTTTCAGCTTCGTTCTATTTCAAGATTGCTTCTTGATGTTCTGGGACCCTTGGGTTTCCATAGGAATTTTATGATCAGAATGCCAGTTTCTGACAGAAAGCAAACTGGGGTTTTGTAGATATTGTATCCCTAGAGCCCTCTGAAGAGAACTGGCTCTGAACAACATGGCGGCCTAAACCTTGAGCGAGTTGGAGCTTTTCACTTAGGTAGGATCTTCTCTCTCTCCCAGTGATGCTTTACTGCATCCAGGTTCTTGCACCACTTCAAGTATACGTTATTCCATCTGTTGCTGTTGCTTTGTTTTCAGACTGTTTACTGCTAGTGTATAAAACTACAAGTCACCATTTATTGGTCCATGTCCTTCAATTTCATAGAGCTTAACAGTTGTATATATTTGTGGATAGTTGTGTAACGTTCATCTGGTACCCAAAGCTTTAAAACTGGAGTAGTTATAATTATTCGTACATTCTTAGCCCTAGTACCATGAAATAAAGATGAAGGTAAGAGCTGACCCGTATTTACTGTCATCTGAAGTTTTCTTCCACTATCTAGTCAGTGTCCATTATTTCTTTCTCTTGCCTGAGCATCTGGTCCAGACCCTCCAGCAGAGTGAATCGGAACTCCAAGCAAACATCTTACTTGTTTTGTTCATGATCCTAGTGGGAAAGTGTGACTTTATCCCATGAAGGAAGGTCCCTTCGATCTCTAGTTCGTTAGTGACTTGGTGTTGAAAGACTGTTGGATTTGACACTCTTAATACAGTATGAGTGGTGTTCGTAGTAAATGAATTTTGCATTTCTGAGATGAATTCTTTTTCTTAAGGATTTTTGCATTTGTATCTAAGAGACATTTGTTGCCTGCTTTTCTTTAGCATTTGTTCAGCTGGTCTTGGAATCAGATGTGTTGACTAGCCGAGTGAGTGAGCAAGTGCCTCTCTTTTGCTTGCTTGGGAAAACTGGAGCTGCTATTTGCCATCACAGGAGTTGGTGGTGAGTGGCCTGAGACAGGACAAGGCCATTGCTGTGACATGGATGTTCTAAGTGACACTTACAGGAACAAAATGTCTGTTCCATCACAACAGCTGATAGCCACCTGTTCTCTGACATCACAACAGCCTCCTTACATGGAGGAGAGGGGATTCCCTAAGGAAGTGGTCCTCACCCTTCCTGGTGATACGACCCTACAATGCAGTCCTCACACTGTGGTGACCCCCAACCATAAAATTATTTTCAGCGCTACTTCATAACTGTAATTCTGCTACTGTTATAAGATGTAATGTAAATATCTGATATGCAGATGGTTTTAGGCAACCCCTATGAAAGGGTTGTTCTACCACCAAAGGGGTTGTGATACACAGGTTGAGAACCGCTGCCCTAATGAGAACCCTTAAGGAGGTCTGTCTTCCTTTAAGACTCAAAAAAAAAAAAAAAAAGGAAATCTCTGGACAGTAAGTGTCTTAGTTAGGGTTTCTACTCCTGTGTTAAACATAATGGCCAAAAGCAACCTGGGGAAGAAAGGGCTTATTTCATTTTATACTTCTAGGTAACAGTCCATTGTGGAAAGAAGTCAGGGAAGGACCTGGAGGCAGGAACTGATCTTGTCTACCGGCTTGCGCGTGTGACTTACCTGCCTGCTTTCTTGGCTTGCGCGTGTGACTTACCTGCCTGCTTTCTTGTATGCTCCGGGGCCACCTGCCCATAAGTCTCACCTCCCACAATAACTGGGTCCACCCCATCAGATGTCACACAGACTTGTCTATAGGCCAGTCTGATGGGGACATTTTCTCAATTAAGATTCCTCCCTCCCAAACTAGCCAGCCCAGTGAGGACACTCTGTCTGTAAGGTAGGAGCATTACTCAGTTCTGGGCCTTTGTTTCTGAGCCTCTTTACACTAGGGAACTTCTCATTTCTCTTTAATATCCAAAAATGAGCTTTAATCTTTCTCCACTCCCCTTTGTTCTCCCATCTTAAGTTTACATGTATGTATCTAAATTTTTATTTATGTTTTTAAAATGTAAATGATCAAATCCACACACCATTTCATCCCTTCTAATTCCTCTCCTATCCCCCCCCCCAACTACTATTCCCTCACAATTTCACGTATTGTTTTGTTTTTTGGTTTTGTCTTTTTTTTTTTTTAACACACCGAGTCCATGTAATGCAGCCAGTATGTCTGTACGTGCATGACCATGGAGTCACCACTGGAGCATGGGCAGCCTCTCAGAGGCCACATCCCTAGAGGAACATGACTCTTCCTTCCTACGCAGCCATTAGTTATCAATAACCCCTAAGCTAGGATGGGACATCTTGTCTTCCTCTCTCACCCATTCTTAGACTTTGTCTGGCTTCATCTTGTAGAGGTGCATGCGGTCAAACTGGTGCGCCCATATGTGCTACAGCCCTCTTGTGTCCAGACACACAGCTGCTGTGCAGCTGTCCACTGTCTCTGACAGTCTTTCCAACCCCTCTTCCATAGTCATCCTGAGCCTTGTGTTTGCACATGTGTGTGGAGGGTGTGTATTTGTGTATGTGGGGGGGAGTTTGTGTGTGCCTGTGTGTTCATGTATGTGATACACATAAAGGCCAGGGGACATCCTCAGGTGCCATCCTCAGCAGCACATCCTCCTTGAGACTGCTCTCTCCTTGCCTGGAATTTATTCAGTTGCTGGTTAACCAGAAAACCCCGAGCTTCTCCTGTCTCTGCCTCCACAGCATTGAAAATACACCCTTGCCCCCACATCTGATATTTTTATGTGGGGTCTCAGGCCTTCCTACTTGAGTGGCAAGCTCTTTACCACTCATTTTGACCCCCATTGTCTCCATTACCTGAGTATATTACTCCTGTGTTTAGATAGGTTTCCGTTCAAACACAGTATTTTTCATTCATACCATACTACTGATTTTTGGTTTGTTTTTTTGTTTTTGTTTTTGATTTTTTTTGGTTGTTTTGTTTTTTATCTTTACTATAATGAAATAAAGATAAAAGCAAGAACTGTGAGTGGAGAATGAATTAGAAACTGGAAGCATCAAATGGTCAGAGGCCTGAGAGCTTCACTGTGCCTTCTTTTCCTGGAGTCTTTGCCTATGCATTTGGTCTTTCAGCAACACAATGCTAGCCCATCCCATGCAGGTCTGTTCTCATTGATCTTGCTTGGAAGAAATTTTTCTGCCTCAAATTTCATGAGGCATCAACCAAACCAGCAGGCCCAAAAGTTTTATATCAGCAGTATTCTGTTTAATGAGTTGCAAAATAAACAAATAAGACAAAAGAGGGGCCTTTAGAAGCTATGCTCATCCATGCTTTTCATTACTGAAAAACAATGAATGCCTGAGGCAAGCTAAGTTTAGAAAAGAGATATGTATTTAGCTCGGAGTCATGAAGCCTCAAAGGCATGCTACAAGCTTTAGCATTGCTGCTGGTGAGGACCTCATAGCAGATGTCCCACAGTGACAGGCATTGCTGTAGGGGGCAATCACAACTTAGAATCAGGAAGCCAGAGAGAGACTAGAGTCTCCTAATCCTTTCTGAAAGCGCACTTCCCATTAACCTAGGTCCCACATAAAGACCCACCACCACCTCCCACATCATTCTTGGAAGACAAACTCCTTCCACACCACAACAGAGTGGGTAATTGGCTCCAGAGCTGAGACCCATGCCCCTCATCAGTGGACACCGTGGAGTAGATTTTAGGCTCACTGATGTCTTCTCTTCTGGGCCCTCTATCTCTTGACTTTCTGGAATGCTGGCGTACTTACCCAAAATCTCCACTAGAGCCTGTGTAATGTAGGTGGGTCATCTGTCTATCTGTTGCTTTCATTGGTTAATTAATAAAGAAACTGCTTGGCCTTTGATAGGCCAGCCCTTAGGTGGGTAGAGAAGATGGAACAGAATTCTGTGAGAAAGAAAGCCGAGTCAGGCAGTCGCCATAGCTCTCCTCTCCAAGATGGATGCAGGTTAAGATCTTACCGGTAAGCTACCACCTCGTGGTGCTACACAGATTATTAGATATGGATTAACCAAGATGTGAGAGTTAGCCAGTAAGAGGCTAGAGCTAATGGGCCAAGCAGTGTTTAAAAGAATACAGTTTCCGTGTAATTATTTTGGGTAAAGCTAGCCGTGTAGGAGCCGGGCTTCTGCTGTAATACCCATGTTATTAGAGTTCGAGTTTGTTTGCTTAAGAACTATTTCACAAATTCTGCTGGCCTCTAAGAGCATCTACCAAATCATCTCCATTGCTGCGGTCCTTCATTATTTCAGAGCTGCCGTTTATTGACTCTAGTGCTTGAAGATTCTAAGTAGGAGCACGTGTGGGTGGGACCTAACAATAAGTAGTACACCAATTCCTGTGAGCCTTCAACTGCAGAGGCCAAGTCTGTGTGCGCTCATGTGTGCCCACAGGAACGTGTGCGTGCATGGACCACACTTACCCTTGTGTGCACGCACGCACAAACCGTCAAAGCATAGTTCCCAGGAAGAGTTTGTTTGACATGAAGCTGGGGCAGTGGTTCACAACTATCATCTCAGCATTCAGGAGCCTGCAAGTTCAAAGCCACCCTGAAATGCAGAATGAGATTCTATCTCAAAACAAAGAAAGTTTAGAATTGTAATTATAACCATTATTAAAAAGATAAAAAGATATTAGAAGAAAAGAAACTAAACTTAAGGAGAATTCAGTTTTAGTTTCACAGCAAAATTTCTAAATATACCAACCAAGTATATTTAGCAGGCCGCTTATAAGATTTTATTATTCTTGGCTTTAGAAAGTACCCCTTAGTGCTCTGCTTTTTTCTTGGTAACTGACAGTTTTGGTGGCGCTGAATTTTAAACACACACACACACACACACACAATGTGACTTTTTCTGAATTCATTCCAAAGAAACTCAAATCATAATTGAAAATTGGCCTAGTAAACTCAGTTTTACAAGGCAGGAGTACTACAGTGAACAGCAATAGGCTAGAAAATGGTTGGTGACTAGGAGTGCTGCTTCTGTTGACATGAAGTTTTCCGTATTATAACTGATGTCTGTGGTTCCTCATCAGTGTATCATATATCACAAGACATTTTAAAGTTTTCTGTAGCGTGCTTGCAGCAGTTTGGAGTAATACCTACCACGGAAAGGGAGCATCTGATACTTAGCGTGTCAGACGTCACACTATCCCATGAAGAAGGCTTGACTGCCAGCCAAGCAGAAGAGCTATGTGTACACAGGAGAACCAATGATGAAAACAGCAGCTCCTGGTCCCCTCTGCTGTAGACCGGGATGCAGCCTGCACCATAGTGAGGGACAATTGGAGGGGTGTGGGATGCTCACTGGAGACTGAGTGTCCAGAGGGTCCTGAGTAGAGACCTAAGTGAGAGTCAGGAGGTGAAGAAATCAAGTGCACCATGTCTCTCTCAAGCAGTCAGTTTGCCTCATGCTGTGAGGTTAGTAGCACCAGGTAGTGTCCATAAGTCAACAGAGAACAAGAATCTGCCAGGTCCTGGGCATACAACTTCGGGTTTTGGCATTTCTGGATTTTTTCTTTGTTGTTTTGCTTTGTTTGGGAGGTGGGGTTATGACAGTGTTTCTGTCTGTAGCTCTGGCTGTTCTGGAACTCACTCTGTAGACCAGTCTGGCCTCAATCTTAGAGGTCCGCCTGCCTCATCCCCCTGAGTGCTGGAACTAAAGGCTTGCATGTCACCACCGCCCATCATCTTCAGTTTTAAGCAACTACAGATAATTTTCTTTTCTTAGAGATGTGATTTCAGCTCTAACTTGCAAAAGTTCCTAAGAAATTGCCTAGTAACTAACTCATTGGTAGAGTGGAAAAATAAAAGAAATAGAAACTGGGGTTCATTTTTGAGGGGAAAAAAATGTGAATCAGAGATAAAGGAGAAGCTTTGGGATTCAAGTTTTCCAGCTTTCCATGGTTGGCTACTTCTCTTCTGTCACCATGTGTTGTGTGGCTGTGGATACTTACTCACCTTAGGAGTGGCCGCCACTTTGAAGTAAAAAAAGCTTCTCTCGCTTCACACAGTGTTAGTGCCCTTGGGTGAGAAGTCAGGGAAGCCATGCTGTGCCTTCAGTGGGTGTAGAATTAAGTTGTGAATCTTCTTCTTTTCCAGATACCCAGGGGTCCTTTCTGAAGTCCAGGAGGAAAAAGGCATCAAGTATAAATTTGAAGTCTATGAAAAGAAAGGCTAACAGAAAGATGCTTGCTGGTTGACTTCAAGTTCTACTGCTTTCTTCCTAAAATTAGCATTTTTACGAGACCGTGGGACTTGTGTTGGCTTTAGATCTATGAGTAATTCTTTATTTAGGGAGGGGTAATTCGGAGGAAGTGTTTGTTTTGCAGTGTTGGAAATGGAACTAGGGCCCTGCATGCTGGACACATGTCCTGCTAAGCCATGCCCCAGCCCCTGTATAATTCCAAACAATGTTTTCATTTCCATTAATCTAACCAGGTTATATTAAATATATTTTAAGACACACCACTTGCTATAAAAATTTCAATGCCCCTCTTATGCCGCCTCAGGTGAGTACCCCAGTAGATGCAGAGCATAGTGTGCGTACAAGAGACCCCAAAGATGTCGAGCCCCTGAGAGCACACTGTGGGGACTCATAGAGCTAGGAGCTAGACAGACAAGTCCAAAGGGCAGAAATGGGTTTTAGACAGCAGAGCTGGAACTCAGACTTTAAAAGAAAATTAGATCAAAGTAGAGACTGAATTATTCTGTGCACGTCACACTCTCGGCAAAGTTCTGTTCACTCAGACAGAAAACCAGTAAATTGAGAGCTCCATTGTGCTGCGTGGAGATGGGAGCAGGTGGAAGATTATGTAAGGTCTAAAACATTTAACTTCTCCGTTTCTCATCTTCAGTAAGATTCCAAGGGATATGGCAGTGACAGAACAAGAATAGGCTGCTTCTACCAAAAGAAAAAGAGAGAAAAAAGCCTAGGTAATAGCAAGCATAATAGCTCCTGTTAAGAATCCAGAGATAACGAACTGAGAATGGATATTGCTTGAGATGAAAATTAGTAAGTTAGAAACTAAACTTTATGAAAATGAAGAGTTGAGAGTTAAAGAGGCTTTCCTGACATCTCAGCAGGGCTTATTTATATCATCAGGTCAAAAAGATAGTGTTTTCAGACCTGTATTGTAAATTAATACAATTTTTTTTAAAGATTTTTTTTTAATCTTTTACTTGTCAACTTCATATATGGAAATCCAAATGCCCACTCCTACTCCCTCCACGACCTTCATGTCCTCTTTTTTGTTTTCTGTGACCCACTGAAACCAGTTAAGGCTTTCTTTATGTTCCTAGGTGTGGACCATCCACTGGGGTATGGGCAACCTCCAGTGGCCACACCCAGCAGCCATCAGTTGCCAATAGTTCTTCAGCTGTGGGTGGAGCCTCATGGGCCTCTCCTAGCCATGCTGTAGTATTGACTGGATCTATCTGTAGATCGCCATAGCTGCTGTGAGCTTATGAGTGCAATGGCCATGTCATGTCGGAAGACAGCATGATGTTCCAGCACTCTTCCCAATTTTTCAGGTCGTTCATTCTGTCCACTGCTCTAACTCACCATGACCTGAGCTGTAGTCGAGGTTGTCGGTATAAACGGCCTTATTCAGAACTGAATATTAAGCAATCGTTTATTCTCTCCAATCTGATCATTTATGAGTCCTGTGCTGACTGCTGACCACTACACAAAGGAACTTCTCTGACCAGAGTTATAAGCAGCACTGATCCAAGGTATAAGCACAGATACTTAGAAGGCACCTCAAAAATGTATCCATTTAGCAAAGCAGCAGGAGTAGGTTCCCCCTCAGAGCCCATTAATTCCACAGCCATGGGCATTTGACCAGTTTTACAGTACCATACATAGGAATTCTCTCCAGTGGAGTGGTCCCTCAGGTCCTAGAGAGCACTTGGTAACCACTGTGGTAGCCATGCCATTACCGTACCTGTACATTAGTATTGTAACGTGCACCGCCTACTGCTAGGTAAGTCCATGAATGACTTTTCTCCCCTGGTGGTAGGCGTCACAACTTCTGGCACTGTGAAAGCTAGCCAGTAATGAGGAAGTTTGCAGCTCAGTTCCAGATTGATGTCTCTATGTCCTGCAACTATTGCTGTGTTGTCCTTCAGTAGTGGAGACATAACCATCTAGCTGTGCTGACCAGCCAAGAGCAATGGTAATAGCCTATGTTGTTTAGGGAGCCTCTATACCAATTGCTCTGAGGAGAGATCCCATACCTTGCACTGAGAGTTTTATTTAATGACTTATGTTTTCATTTAATAGCCAGTGTCTACTAGTGCATAGGGTACCACCAAACTTTTTTTTTAGTTATAATTATCTTACAAAGCAGTGGGGTGTTTTGTTTTCTCATACGTCCTTAGTTTTAGTTAAGCCATACTATAGATAGAGTCTTTTGAATGTAAGTTAGTAATCAATTCAAATTTATAATATTCTACGTTTGGACCCAGAAATACTACCTGATAATCATGAACAAATTTATGAACTCAAGGAGCCAGAAGAGCAGCTGAGTCAGTTCCCATAAAGCATAGGAACTGAGTTTCTTGTGTATCAGCTTCCTCTAAAATTAAAACCTTTCTTGGAGGGAAGTTGTGTGAAACAATATGTTATGGAGGAGGTAAGAGGATATACTAAGGGTGGGCAGAACAGTCCATCCTGCTAAGAGGTTCCTTAAGTTCAGGAAGTAAGCAACTCAAAAGGGTTTAGGAAGTTCCTGAAACTGACCAGGTACACTAGGCCCCTCCCTTCCCAAGCATATATGAGCAGTGAGTGATTGCTGAGGGACACTGAGACAAGCTGGCTATGTAGCACAGGTGAAGCCTCCTGGAAAAAGCAGAGGCCAGTGATGCTGTCTGAACTACCTGGAAAGGGCACCCCAACCTGTTGAGCTGCTTGTAAACTACAGGTTTCCAGATTTCATGAGCTGTCACCCATGCTGGTGTGGGCTTTTGGTGGTACAGTAATCTGTGAGTCATTGCTGCTTCTGTAAGTAACCCCAATAAAATTCATTGGTTCACCAAGTGGAATTTTGGTGGTATCTTTCCTTTGAACTTCCATATCAGGTTAGTAGACATTAGCTCATATCTCTCCAGGAAGGGTGTTACATAACAGTTTGGATCCCTGGCGCCCATGTAAAAGGCCAAATACAGTGGCATATATTTGTAACCCCAACAATGGTGGGGTAAGGGAGAGACTGGCAGTTCACTGGCAAGCCAGACTGGCCCAATAAGTGAGTTCCCTGTACAATGAGAGTTGCTCACTCAGAAAATGAGGTAGAGAACAGTAGAAGACACCTCACATTAACCTCAGGCCTCCATATGCAAGCGCATGTGACGTGTACACCAAGTACATACACATGGCACACGAAAAGAGTCCAAGGAAAGTCAGTTGTTACAGTGTTTTCTTTTAAATTTGGAAAGAGCCTAAATGTCAAAAAAAAATAAATAGTTATGTCTATAAAATATACTATTTTGCGGCACTTGAAAAGGATGTGGCCTTGGCAAATGCTAAAGTTCTTAAATAAAAGAAACTATGGTCAACAAAAGCATCTAGTACTATCATGTCTAAGAGTAATATATATTATAAATAATTGACAGCATCAGACTTGGTAAGTGTTATTTTTCTGTTTAAGTGTGTCTTCTATAAGGATTTTTGGAAACTATTCAGACAAAATCAGTCACAGCATTTGTTTTCAACAGGAAACTGAAGGCACAAAACACCCAGAGTAAGTGGTTTTCTAAAAGTCTTCCTTCCAAGGAGGGGCACACCATGCAGAAGAGAAGGGGCCAACTCTACAGAAAAGTCTTCCATCCAGGAAGGGGACACAGCACGCAGAAGAAAAGAGGTCAATTCTATAGAAAAGTCTTCTGTCCAGAGAGGGGGGCACACCACGCAGAAAAGAAGGGGTCAACTCTATACAAAAGTCTTCCTTTCAGGGAAGCAGGCACACTCTGGAGAAGAGAAGGGGTCAACTCTACAGAAAAGTCCTCCATCCAGGGAGGGGACACAGCACACAGAAGAGAAGGGGTCAACTCCACAGAAACATTGCACATCAAAAGAAAATAGTGGGGCCTTCTTGCAATGAACATAACCCGAAAACTACCGGTGTCCAGAATCTGTAGGACTCGGTGATTAGGTCAGAAAAAGAAACAAGCTGTTTAAGGAGAAATTAAAGTGGCCACTAAATGTACACTTAGGTAAACCTTCCACTAAGAAAGAGGGACACACAAGCAAGATTGGGTGTGACGCTCTCACCTTTGTCAGACTTAAGTGTTGTTGATACTTCCTAAGGCTGAGGATGCATCCGCTCATGAACACAGACTGGATAAAAAAACAGGAGAAAACCTCACATGTGGTAATGAAGCGCTGAAAGCAGCCTGGAAATCCAGAGACAAATTATTGCATTACTATTTTGGGATTTCTATCCAAAGCATATTCTGAAACATTTCAATGAGAGTGGTCTATGTAGTAAGTCATACCAGAAATCACCACCTGGTATACAGGAAAACAAGAACCTGGTTCAAGGTCAGCAAGCAGGTTCCCATTGGTAGGCTCGCATACCTGGGACACTAAGGGAAAGAGAGCTGGAGGATGTAGACTCAGTCATTGGTTGAGGGATGCTGTTGCTCTGTGTAAACTGGACACACTCCAGCTGCCAAGGTCCCAAGGGTTTTCAATAAAAAGCTGCTAACGTGAATGGAAAGAATATTAAACACTTCAGCAACTCCATGTTTCTGCTACTTTCTGCAAAGGAAAAGAAAAGTGTAAATAAAGCCCAATGATTTATTTGAAGTATGATATATATCAGAAACCTTGTCCATATTGAAAAACAGATGTGGTGTGTTTTAACATTAGGAGTAGAGGTTTCTGGTGGATTCTGAATTTGATTTAGATTCAATAAGAAAGGAAGAAGGGAATAAGGGATATGGAAAACAATGGAAACCTGCCTTCCAAATTCTGCAAAGAAAGTTATTTTCAATGAATAAATCATCACTCACCCTTCATGTACCGTTTCTTATAAATCTACCAGAGGAGGTGCCCAAGCAAAATGAAGGGTCATACAAACCCTGGGATCTAGGAAATATAACTCAAAACTCAGGATGCCAACCTTGTAGCTGGCTTTGGAAACAGCCGGAAAATAATGATGGGTGGATGACAGGTCGGGAGCATCCGGAAAGTTCTCTCAAGACAAAGCAAAGAGGCCGGCAGTCACCCAACTCGGCAACTGATGTGGGGGCATGGAATACAAGAAAGGAAATTAAAATGATGCTTTTCTCAGCAGTGAACTCTATGCACATAGTGATAATGGAGCGAGGCTCTGTCTAAGCCATGGAAACTAACCTGGAGCCTCAGCTTGTCCAAGAGAAAACAATCGAGAAATCACTTGAGAAAGAAAATCGGGAAAAGCTACTAAGTTACAAGTTGGCACTTTAGACTTTTGGAGGGGGTAGGATGGGGGCTCCAAGACCTGGGGCTCCCTAATAAGTCTGTGCCTACAAGTTCCAGGGATCCTCCAGTCCCTGTCCCCCACTGTTGGGATTGCGGATGAGCGGCGCCAATAGAGGTGGTTTCTGCTGTAGGTCCTGAGGATCTGAACTCGGTCCACACACTTACGACCCAAGCAGTTTACTAGGCTGTCTCTGCAGTCTTAACCTTCTCCTTTAATCTTTCTTAACAAAAAGTTGCTAGCTTCCTGTTTCTCCCCGTACATGCAGCATACAGCGGCATGGAAACTTTGAAGGCACTGTATGTTCATACTCAGCTGAGAAATAATGAGCTGTGGTCACACAAAAGCCCACAGACCAACTGTCAGGAAAACAGGGGCGTTTTCCCACAGTGCCCGCCCCGCGCTTCCACAGAGAATTCGGTCTCCCTTCTCCCAGGATGGCTTCTGAACTCTCACTAAGGGGAGAGTTTGGAGCAAAGATGTAACTAACGAGCTTCATATGTTCTAAACAAACGGCTTAGTAGACTGTATGCTTCTGTAAAACTGGAATTATGCAACACCCACTTCCTTATAAGCCAGTCCTCAAAATGTTCCCATTACACCTGCATTGGGGATGGGTTCTGGAATCTGCCCTTTAAATAAACACGCCAGAGGACTCTGGAGCTAGAATGCCAAGGCCTGACTGACAGAAGCGTACCTGTGGGCGACACCAGGCACCTGGAAGCTGCCTGATTCCTTGCTACTGTTTTAGAAGGCATTTGTCCCCAAAAGGGGGTGAGGGACTGTCACTATTTCTCATTCTCAAGACTTTCAAAGGAAGCAATACAGAAAATCATTCAAAGTATAAGCTACCATGCAACAATGGAAAAATATAAGGGTGTGTGGACTAGATTTTCATATTGCTGATTTTGAAGCTAAAGACCTTTCACTTCTTAAATATATAATAAAATTCATATGAAAGTATTTTTATATAAGTAACTCAGATAACATGGTAAACAAAGTTAATGATAGGTGTCCCTTAACAAAGTGCAATCTAATAGTTCATTTATTAGTTATATAAATGGTGGACTGGAGGGAAGGCTTGTGGCCAAGAGAATGTGCTGCTCTTCAGATAACCCAGGGTCTTTTCCCCAGCAATCTGGGGTTCACATCTACCTATAACTTCAGCTCCAGGGTGTCTGGCACCTTCTTCTGGCCTCTGCAGGCACCATACATACATGGCATACACACGCACACACACATACATAAATTTTAAAATTAAATAAGCAAATAATAGTGCAGGCACACATGGAAAAATATATATACTAATTAATTAATAGTTAATAAATAAAAATGAACCAAACACATTACCTGATTAAGTAACATGACTTTGTGAGGTTAAAGGTGGCTGGCCAGCTGCTGGAAAGATTAAAATATAATAATTACCTTTGGAATATTGAACCTTGTGACTAAGGATGCTCCAGCTGGGTGTGGAAGAGAAATCAAAAACATAAGTGAAAGAGTACCGGGAACAGAACCAGAGACTTAAGGCTGAAGATGTTTTTATTCACAGTGGAGCCTCTGGCCAAACAGGAGAGACACCTGAGGTGGCCCTGTGGCGTCCCTGCAGTTGCGCTGTTCCTGAGACAGGAGACACACTAGAGAGGGTTTCTAATGAGCAGCTCCTGCCCTTTCCGTTCCCCTGGAGACCGCACGTGTTCCTCCGCTAATACATTGACATTTCTGTTAAACCATTTTCTTCTTGGAACAAAAATGGAGAACAAATCAGACTTGTGTGTGGTATTTCAAATTGCTTGGTACTTAATAATACAAAACAAAATTATCAGAGGCTGGATTTAGGTGCTCTTAGCATCTGCCACCCCTGAGCCACAGACATCACTCGTGTCCTGGGGGAGCAATCTACAGGATGGAGAAAACAGGGTTCTGGCTTTAGGAAAAGCTGGAGGAAGATGTGATTGTCTACAGCGAAATCATGAGTGAGACAGCCTCTTTATCATATGGTCATGAGCTGCTTAGAGGGGGAGAATAACCCAAAGTAGCATCGAGAAACTGAACGGTTCCCTTTTGTCTGGCAATGCCCCATTGATAGATTATGTATATATTGTATAAACATATGTACTGTATGTATATATAATACATGTGTGTGTGTGTGTTTGAGACAGGGTTTCTCTATTATGTTGCTCTGGCTGTCCTGAAACTTGATAAGTAGACCAGGTTGGCTTCAAACTCATGGAGACAGACCCCCCCCCCATGCGCCTCCTAAGTGTTGAGTTTAAGGCATGCACCCCCACCCAACGCTTCTTACATTTTGCTTCTTTTCAAAGTTAGCTTTATGCATCATTTACTCTTGCATCTCATTTACCATGGATCAGTCTTGTTTGGTTTATGGAATATTTACTTAACAAAATACACATTTTCATTTTGACACAAGAATACATTCATGGCCCAAAGCTCTGTCCATCACCTCAGACAGCTCCCTTTCCAGTCACCCTGCCTTCAGCTGTCAGGAGAAAGTCCTGTGAGGGGTTGTTTCTTTTCTCATTCCAGGTTTACTTGCCTGTTCCT